TTCCATCATATCTGACACTAGACGAGTCCTTTTTGCGGGTGCCCGCGCCGACCCTTGAACCAAATACCACCCAACCACCGTCCCCTCCACTTCTGCGTTTGACAGGTTCATCGAAATACTTCCTGCGATTTTTGGAGTCCCCGCATAAGCTGTCTGCTAACTCCCTTTCTGTCCTTTCTGACAGACCGCTCGGTGGGGTGGGCAGAGAACTCAAACTCTCAGGTCTCCTGCAACTTTTATCTCTTTGTCCGTTGGAGAGAAGCAGCAGCCGGCTGTCTCCCCCCGGAAGCAGCAGGAGCCGCCTGTGGTCCTCGGGCGGCCTCTGATGTAGGAGGGACACCCGACCCACACTCGGCTGTGAGCCTGGGGGCGTATGACACCCCGCCACCCCGTCAGCCCCCAGGGCCCACGCCTAACGCAGAAACCGCCAAGCAGTGACCGTCGAACACACCAGAAACTCCTCCTCCGGTCTCCTCTAGAATCCGATGCCACCTTCATGCACCCCCCCCCCAGCGCCCCCAAGTTTTCTGGGAACTTGCTAACTTTGTGAGTGATTAGCCTCCAGACACCTCAACGCTGAAAAGCATGGCCACGCCGCGGGCAGCGGGCTCACACGGTCCCAGTCCCCGCACGCAGCGACCGCCGCCGTCGGCGAGCACTGGTTGTGCTCACAAACACGGATACACACGCGGTGAAGAAGTCCCCTTCCGACGGTGCCCAGCGCTGGCACTCTGAACCTCGCCTTCAGGCGGACAAGCCAGTTCTGCGGTTGTCAGACGGCAGCCTTTAAAACCAGCGTCCGCAGGCTGCCCGCCGGCCACTGTGCTCGAGTCTGAGACTGATTATCCCAAACAAACTCGCGACATGTGTGCACGCGCCAATGTCACTTTGCACTACAGACATTTTCAGCACGGCGCTGTCAAGATGAAGATTCAAAGGGTGGGAATGGAAAGGGAACTCAAGGCAAACGAGAACACTGACAAAAATATGTAACTGCCGGGCAGGTGACACGGTCAAGGTGTGGCTCGGGGACTGTTTACATGGATTATCTCATTTAAGGGGATATTTCTTTGCACCACCCTGGCAGGCAGCGTCGAAGGCAGTCACCAATTCCGCCCACCGTCCAAGCGCTTCCCTTCCCTTCGAGTGGGGGCTGGACCTAGACTCGCTTCGCATGAAAGGAACATGGCGGGAGTCATGAAGTCCCATTTCTGAGACTAGGCTATTCAAAGGCCAGAAGCTGTGGTTTCCAGCATTATGGAGGTTTTTAGGGAGTTTTTCTCAGGCTATTCACCCTTGAGAAACCCCGCTGTGCAGAGACCCACTTCACAAGGGTCTGCAAACAACCCCAAGAACGAGCGTGGAAGTGGACCCTGTCCCCTTCCCACCCTGTGAACCTTCAGATGAGACCACGGCCCGGCCAACAGCCCGAATGCAGCTCCGTGAGAGACCCCGAGCCGGGAGCACCCGGCTAAGCCACACCCCGATTTCTGACCTACAGAAACTGGGAGGTAACAAATATTTGTCATTTTAAGCCACGTTTTGAAGTAATTTGTTACACAGCAATAGATAGGTGATCTAACCCTTCAACATCACTGACTGAGTTTTCATAGAACATCACCGGTCATATCGACATAAGGTTGCCATATTCGCGCTTCGTAATTTTGTTATACACTTGATTTTACGGTTAGTGATAAGCGCAGAGCTGTGTTGATTGCAAGTTTTATGCTTTTATAAGTTATGGAAGTTACTAGTATAAATTGTTTAAGACAACACTGGGTCGTTGCAATACATGTGTTTAAGATGCTCCTATATTGCTAAATTCTGAGAAATATTAATGGTTTGTGTACACGGCCAAGCCTCAGAATTCCTTCTCGTACATTCTCTGCCTGTAACTTGAGCATGATCTCTTAAAAATACAAATAGGATTGTGTCTGTTTTGTTTCCCATATTTCTAAGGGTTGGCTCATCGGTGAAGGAATGAATGACTCTCATGTCCCGACTTAAAACCTTTCAATAATCCCCCGTTGCTCTAGGGACAAAGCCCACGCCGTCCTCTCTGACAAGGCTCCGGCGTGGGGGTCACCTCTGCAGCCTCACCTCCCACCACCAACCCCTGCACCTCCCTCCCTTTTCTCTAGAACTCTCCGCCAGCCCCTCCCCTTCATCCTGCACTCGCCTAACCTGGGCCCTTCCTGTTGATCCTGAACACCAAGTCTGTGTTCTCTCGGATCCTACACACTTGTCATGAGGTACCCACCGCTGCTCGCCAGGCCGGGACACCTGATGGCAGGGTGCACCCCGGCCTTGGTGGCAGCCCCCGCCTGGCACACGGCAGCTGCTGCGAGCATCCGAGTTGAATGGCTGCACGTGCCTGCCGGGCCCCGCCTCGCTCCGGAGAGCCCAGCAGGGACGACCCCGCTGGCCGCCCGGGAAGGCTGCGCAGGCCGGAGCTGTGCCCGCCTCGGGTAGGAGGCGGGAGCCCCAGGGCAAAGAGACGCTGCCCCAAAGGAGGCGCTGAGTCATCTGGGAAACAGGAATTTCTCACCGAATGCTCTTCTCACCTTAATGTTCAGGTCGGCGGAGGGAAGCTTTCTTCCAGGGACTACCTCAAAAGGGGCTCGCGAGCACCTTTCATTCCACTGGGAATGCGGCCAGAACACGCCCCCTCCAGAGCCCTGTGCGAAAACCCAGCCTCCCGCGCTTGCTTCTAACCTGGGGTCCTCCCCGCCTCCCCCTGCTCTGTCCGGTCACTCTGCACGTTTATCCTCCACCGCACCGAGACCACTGGCTCGCAAACGAAGCTTCTCCTGGTCTGTCCACTGTCTGCGGGCCTGCCCTGCGAGCTTGGCTCTGCATTTGCTTGTATCCCCTGGCCTGGCGAAACCGGCCACCGGTGCACACGCACGGAGTGCAAGTGGCCCCACCTGTGAGCGTCCACGTCCTCCTGCCTCACAGGATGGCAATAACACGCACCTGGGAGGTCAGAGGCCGGGAGAAGACACGGCAAGGTCTCAGTCATAATTATTATATATACCTGGGGTGACGTGCAAAGTGGCTGGGGGGGGGGCACTTAGAGAGGCCACCACAGGTGTCCAGGGCATGGCAAACAGTAAAAGAGAGTTCCGGCTACTGTAGACGTGATCACCTGAACAAACACCGCTCACTCTCCAAACTTTCTTGGGAGAGAAGCAGCTCGCGTCAGAGGGTGCGGGCATGGAGGCAGAGCAGGCCCGCGGGGAGTGAGCAGAGCTGGCAGGAAACAGGTGCGTCGCCCAGCCTCGCCCCCTCCCTCCTCTGCTTCCCACTTATCTTTATTGTCATTTCCTGGGTTTGCACAAGGCCACCTTGGAGACAGCACACCTTGGTTCTCAGCTGGTCTCCTGGCTGCTGGCATCACCGGCCTCCCCGCCACTGCGGCCACACCCCACACCATGCATCCTCGGGGTGCTCCCGGGAGCACCCGGTCTGCAACCAGGTGGGCGAGCACGCCTACAGACAGGGTGGAAGGCCCGTGGGACCTTTGGGGGCCCTTCTGAGCAGCTTTGGAGGAATGAAGTCCACCCGGCTCAGAGATCAAACTCTCCCCAGCGTCTCTACTTGGGTTACTGCACCCCTGCACCTCTGCACCCCTGCACCTGCAGCCCTGAATACCTGCAGACCTGCATCTGTGCACACCTGCACATCCTATAAAACCTGATTGGAACCAACTGTACATCAGGAGTGTTTGAAAAATACCCAGTCTGATGCAAAAAAAAAAAAAATCAAAAGAAAACAATAGGCACAGTATTGTAGGCAAGGCAAACCCTGTTGGCCAACTAACTTCAAACTCCTGTAACAGGACGTACCGCACAGCACGTAAGTGGAGAATGGACCTCAGCGATTCAACTCTAGATCCTATCAATGTTAACACTCGTTGCTTCAGAAAAATAGAGATTATTCAAAACCTGCTAGATATGCACGGTCCTTCGGTCCACCAGCCTAACGTAAGAATTCTCACATCAACACTGGTGCTGACAAAATAAAACACTACTTTTTAAATGCTTAACTATTAAAGAATTGCACAACCGAAATGTCTCGACGATCGGCATTCTTTGGGAGGAAGATTTTGTATCTTAAGTGTTTTTCAGCTGATTTTATTTTTTTCCATGAGGTTTTGAAGTTTTCCTTCGCTGGCCAAAAGGTCATGGCTAGGTCATATTTCTCACGAACAAGCCCGGGGGGACTATTTGGGAAGTTTTATTTTTGAATGACTGATTAAGCTTAATAGAGAGACAAAAACAAAACTGCACGGGCCCTCTGGCACACAGAGATGCTTTTGCAGAATTCAATGCTCCCTGACCTTAAGTTGTGCAAGGGGCTCTGTTGACAAAGCTAAAGAGAAAGTTGCTGGGTGACTGTCAACCCTGGCTTCCAGGAATCAGAGGGACACGAAGGGCTTTGACAGCTTTGTCCGTGTGTCCCCCGATAAACCCCCCAGGCCCTAGAATCCTACTGGCTCGTCCCGGAGCCTCCTGAGGTTGCAAAGTCAACACCCAACTCCGTGGTTGCTGCCCATGCAGAAGGGAGGCTGGGAGGCCCCTCTGCTCTTAACCTTGACTTCACCTGTTATCGCTAAAACATTTGTGCAACTGTGCTTTTTGCTTTTTTTTTTTTTAACATCAATCTACATTTTTTCTCCCAATGTAAGTAGGTTTTAAAAAGTCCATAAAACTGCCTGGGTCTGGAGACCTAGAAATTTAAATTCCCTGGAGTCAGAGAAGTCTAGGTTAGCTAGAGTCCTCCTGGCGAGGTCCCTCCTTCTCAAGCTGTGTGTGCCTCTCGGCCTCAGTTTCTCACCTGCGAAATGGGCCCGGCGCGAGGGCCGGCGGCCAGCTCCCCGCCTGGAGCGGACGGGAGAGCCGGGCGGGGGAGGAGGGCGGGTCGCGGCGCGCACGGGGCGCGGGTGGGGCGGTCGGGCTGGGTCGGGTCGCACGCCCCGCGCCCGCCGCCAGACTCACCAAGGCTTCCTCGTCGTCCTTCCCCAGCGCCTGGTACTGGCGGCCGGCGCCCGAGAGGGCGAGTTTCTGCAGGAACTTGGAGAAGCGTCGCTCCACCATGGCGGGCGGGCCCAGGCTCCCGTCGGGCCGGCGGCCGCCCTGCCTACGTCCCTCCGTCCCCAGCGAGGCCAGGGCCGGCTGCGCGCGCCCAAGCCTCCTGGGCCGGACGCGGGTTACCTGGCAGCTGCCTACCTGCGCGCCGCAGGTGAGGCCACGCCCCCGGGGCGGGGCTGCGCACAGGGCGGCGCTCTGCGCACCTGGCCCCGCCCCGCGCGCCCGCCTGGGACCCCGGGGCTATTGGGGACCGCGGCAGCCCAGTGGCCTCAGAGCATGGGCGGTTTCCCAGACCCTGCCGGAACGTAAGACTCACCTGGAAGGGGAGGTAGAGGCGCAAAGGGACCCAGGCAGTTTTATGGATTTTAACATCGGGATTCCCAGACTTCTCCCCACCCCACCCAGAGTCTTTGGGTCTGGGGCGTCCAGGGAGCTGGGTGTTCCACAAGCTCCCAGGTGACTCTCTGGAGGCGCCCAGGGTGGTCAACACCAACCCGCCAGGGGCAGGCAGACCGAGCTGCGCCTGTCACGCGGCCTCTCTGAGCCTCAGTTGCCCCCTCTGCCATTGAGGAGGAGGGGAAACTTAAGACCCCACCTCCAGGACCTGGGAGTGAGTCCTGGGGCAGGAGACTTTGAGGACCACGCTGCCTTTGGCCGCTGGGTGGTCCCGGGCAATCTCAGAATGGGCTCCTGCGCTTGCTAGTCTGGGGGGCGGGCAGGTTTCTTACATGTTCTGGGCCTCAGTTTGCTGATCTGTAGAATGGCCGCCATGACAGCACATCCTCCATCGGGATCGGGATGCCGAGAGGGTTCATGGGACAGCGTTGTGCCGGAAGGGCTGGGGCAGGGCCTGGCATCGGGTCCGTGGGCATCATCCTCATCATCAGCACTGGAACGCTACTGGGCTCAAATGGCTCCAGAAGTATGTGAGTGAATGTGTGGTGTAGACAGTTTCCAGGCGCGTTGAAAAGTGTGAGGGCTTGCTTTGGGTTCAGGTGGGACTAGAACCTGTAACTAGACCTGCCACTCATAGCAGGGTGGCTTTGGGGAAGGCCGGGCCACTCCTCTGGGCCCTGGTTTCCTCGTGTCTAGAGCAAAGTTCCCTGTGGACTACAGGAGGTGGCCTTGCCTTTGCCCGCGGAATTGAGTGGACACTTGTGAGCGAATATTGCTCCAGCTGCTCCCCAGGGCTGGGCAGTTCTAGCAGGGCTTCTGGCCTCTCCTACATCTTCCCCTTTTAAGGAAACAAATGAGGCGGCCCCATCACGCTGCCGCCAGTTTCAACAAAGGTGCAGGAATAGTGGAAAAAGCGAAACCCCGGTGTCGGTCCAGATTTGGATACCAGACCTGTTCCTTCCAGATGTGTGATCTTGGGCAGCCTTCTTCATCTCTCTCCACCTCAGTTTACTCATCCATAAAAATGGGGATGTCACTACCTGCTCACGTGAGTCACGGTCCCGGCAAGAAACACAGAGCACCCCAAACTGAGTGATTTGAGGACAATGTGAGAAAGAGACTATTCGCAAAGGGGTGGGCAGGGCGTCGAGAAACTGGAAGGGATTGCGCCGTTACCCAAGATTGGCAACCTCGGGGAGCCGGAGCTGCTGCCATGCAAGGCCGGAAGAGCCAGAGGCGAGAGCAGAGCGTTGGGGAGGGCGGCTGCTCAGCTGAGAACTGCGGTGACCGGAAACAGCTCCGACCAGAAGCCAGAGGGCCGGGGAGCCACGGATGGATGCGGCCTCCTGGGCCCAGAGTCCAAAGGAGAAGAGAGGAGAAGGGCGGAGACTCTTCTGGAGGAACCAAGGGGAGATACCCAGAAGCCAGCCCCAGGGTCCCTTGTGCGGGCTGAGCTGGTGCTGGCACAGGTGGAACACCTGGTGGCACTTCCTAGCAGGACCTGGCGTGGCAGGTCCTCAGGGATGCCAGTCTTCATGTCAAGGACCCACGGGAACTCGGCTCAGCTCTCTCTCAGGCCCTTCCCCGCTGGCATTCCGTAACTTTAAGATAACGTTAGATCCTGGAAGGAGAATGCTTTGTGGGCTTAGAACTTCATGCTCTTGCAAGGTTTCATGTCTGCAGATGGTGCAGCAGTCGGGGCAGGGAGGGATGTGTCAATCAAATGCCCTCCCCTCCACAGCCCAGCCTCTGCCATGCGGTCCCCATGGCCTCAGCCCAGCGACGTCAAGGCCTGGATTTATGCACCAGGTCTGAGGAAGCCCAGAGCGCCCAGGAAGGAAAACGCCAGGTGGCGGATATTGTGAGAACACCTAGACCTGGTGGGATTTAAAAAAAAAGAAAAAAGGAGTGGACCACAGAGAGAGCAGCTAAAGAGATCAGCTCTGTGGCTAGAGGCAGCTGGATGGGCACCCTTAGGCTTAAATTTGTACAATTTTTTTATTGCGTTGCACTGTGATCAGAAAATGTAGTCTGCACACGTCTGCTAAACTTTCTTCATAGACTGGGCCTTAGTGACTGGTTTGTGTGCAATTTTTATATAAAGATTTCAATGGCACTAGAAAGGTTGGTATGTTCTTCTCTGTAAGGGCATTTTAAAGGTGCATTCTTGGCCGGGCGCAGCGGCTCACGCCTGTAATCCCAGCACTCTGGGAGGCCAAGGCGAGAGGATCGCTCAAGGTCAGGAGTTCAAAACCAACCTGAGCAACAGCGAGACCCCGTCTCTACTAAAATTAGAAAGAAATTAATTGGCCAACTAACATATATAGAAAAAATGAGCCGGGCATGGTGGCGCATGCCTGTGGTCCCAGCTACTCGGGAGGCTGAGGCAGCAGGATTGCTTGAGCCTGGGAGTTGGAGGTTGCTGTGAGCTAGGCTGACGCCATGGCACTCACTCTAGCCTGGGCAACAGAGTGAGACTCTGTGTCAAATAAATAAATAAATAAATAAATAAATAAATAAATAAATAAATAAATAAAAAGGTGTATTCTTTGTAAATGAGCTCTGTATCTGCTCACTATGACTTCCTAGTTACACAGTTCATGTCCGTATTGATTGTCGACTGCTTGATCTGACGCGGGAAGAGAAGGTAGAAGAGAAGGTAGAGTTTAAAGTTTCCCACACTAATCGCTTTCCTGTCCATTTTCCTCGTGTGTCTGAATTTTTTTTGTGTTGTGCTGCTCTGTTGGTGGGTGCGTGTGATTTGCCTGTTCATTATGACTATTGTAACTGATCTGAGCCATCTCTGTCTTGTTAACAATGCATTCCTGCCATGTCACTCTGTAGAGTTGGCGCTCCGTGTTTCTTCCCCATGGCTCCCGTCTGAGGGTCCACACCCCGCACCTTAGTGGCGGCTGCTCCGTTTCACCTCCAGGTTCCCTGAGAGAGGGGACTTGTCTGTCTTCCTCACTGTGCACCTGCCCGGTGTTTATCACAGTACACGATGTGCCTGTAACACGATGTGTGCCCCCAAGTGTTTACTGTGTCTCTCGTAAACAGCAGATTATTGAAATTTTTAATCTAACTGCACATCATTTGCACCGTAACAGGGAAATGCATTGTGCCTACATTGTTACGGATGTTACCATCAGTCTGACTTCTAAGCAGAAAGAAACTGCTACTTGCTATCATCCTTTATTTTGATTTTAGAATACATACCTCACTCAAAGTTCCATTGGGAACTATCTAAAGGCGTTTCAGGAATACGAACAAATAGTTATACAGTCTCTTTTGGTTTCTTTTTACAGCTTTAAAGGAATTTCATTGTGATTTTCATTTTTATTTTTCTAACTTTTGCTTCCTTTTATGTGCTAAGTCATCTAATCTAGTTATCCACAACTTTATTTATTTATTTATTGAGACAGAGTCTCCCTGTGTTGCCCGGGCTAGAGTGAGTGCCGTGGCATCAGCCTCGCTCACAGCAACCTCAAACTCCTGGACTCAAGCGATCCTCCTGCCTCAGCCTCCTGAGTAGCTGGGACTACAGGCACGTGCCACCATGCCCGGCTCATTTTTTCTATGTATTTTAAGTTGGCCGATTAATTTCTTTCTATTTTTAGTAGAGACGGGGTCTCTCTGTTGCTCAGGCTGGTTTCGCACTCCTGACCTTGAGCGATCCTCCCGTCTTGGCCTCCCAGAGTGCTAGGATTATAGGCATGAGCCACCGGCCCCCAACTTTATTTTTTGAGTTTTTTTTTTTTTTTCTGTTGTGCTGTGTTGCCCATCCCCCCCCCAGCAGTGACACACACTATTTATGTATGCTTTCAACGTCCTTTCTGAGCTCTGTCACCTGATTTGGAGCCCAGGGTCATCCCCACTGACTTCAAGATGATTTTCCTTTTAGAGTTTTTCATTTGTTTGTTTTTTTCTGCCTTCAGCCTGGAAAGTTCTAGAGCCCACTCCCAGGGACTCTCCTCAGCCCAGACAGGTGGCTGGCAGACTTCCTGAGGTTTGCAGCTCTGAGAATGACCCTGCCACGTTGGCCCGCGATGAGCATCAAGGGCGGGGCCCACGCTAAGGCATCCAGCCTTTCTGGAAATGTCTGCTCTGGGCACCTGGAACAATGAGGCCACGCTCTGCGAGTCCCATTCACTCTCCATGTGAAAGTGGCAGCTTTTCATCGCCCACAAAGCACCTCCCTACAACGCACCTGTCGGGAAGTCCTGACTCAACCTCAAGGCACCTGAAGTTTATCTGGTAAAAAAATCTCACAAGTCAAGGTTGGCATTGAAGGCATCCTTTTTGGAAAGAGTATATTATACAAAGGCATATTTTATACAATTTTTTTTTCTAATTTTGGAAATTAGTTTGAAGTTATGGCTCCTCACATAAACCCTCAATTCTATTTGCTTTTTAGTGGCTGTGTACACAGGCAATAATATAATCGTTTTATAGATGAACAAATCGGGACTTTGAAAGGTAAAACCATTTCATTTATTCAACAATATTTTGTTTTTTGAGACAGGGTCTCACTGTATTGCCCAGGCTGGAGCGAAGTGGCATCATCGTACCTCACAGCAATCTCAAACTCCTGGGCTCCAGAGATCTTCCTGCCTCAGCCTCGCAGGTAACTGGGGCTACAGACACATGCCACCATACCTGGCTAATTTTTCTAATTTTAGTAGAGACTGGGTCTACGC